GCCGCGGTATGCGACTAGTCCTTGCACTGCAAATTTACATGCAAGGCAGAAGGAGTCCCGGCGGGGATGCCTGCTGTGCCGAAACTTGATACCTACTCAGCAAACGTGGCTGAAGGTTCGGGGGGAAATATCCCTGCTATCCTGGGTTTGAGGCGTATCTCCAACATGAGGACTATCCTGATCCTGGAGTAGGGGCGCGAGAAGATGACCATCCCTGGCTCTGATATGTACAAGTTTCTACTTGGAAAGGGTGCCAAAGTATTCGATTTGATGAAAACGCCTTCTGGGCATCTGGCACTCAAGGTCGACGAGTGCGGGGCCGCAACTGAAGACAAACGGTCGTTGTCGTTTACTATTACGGCCAATCCGCAATGCGAGGATGCCCCGCTGTTCGTCAAAGAGGCAGCTGACGCAGAGCCAGCCGCGGGGACACCTGCCATGAGCGATGCCCACACATATATGCTGTCACAGGATACCGTGGGCATCAGCTTCTCCATCAACGAGGAGACGCTCGCTTTCACGATCCAGTCTTTGGTGGATAACATCTCGATGACTTGGCATCGCAGGAATACGTCCTTCGGGACTGCCCCCCCACCTCGGCCGAACAGGACTTCGCCTTGAAGGCAGGGACACCTGCGGAAGGGGATGATACCGCTGAGAAGTTCGATATTTTTACTTCGAGCAGCGGCTCTGGAGCGCAGCGTGGCACGGGCATTTGGACGCCCCCATCGCCTGAACATGAGTGACGGGGGCAGGCGCGCGCCACGGCCACCCGCGCTTGCTCCGACAGGCCGAAGACTCAGGTTCTGTCATCAAGTGCGAGGAAACCTGCATTATTTTCTCAGGCGCCGGCTGTGCGCGCCAGGGACAGTGGCAAGCCCAGCTGTGCGGCTGCCTCGGACAGCAGTAGACCCGGCTGTGTGGCCGCTGCGGACACACGGACTCCTTGCGCTGAACTCCGAGCTCGTGGTTACATGTGTGACCGCATTACACATACAGAGGTTATGACCTCTACTGGTACACAATATTTGGGTGCCCTACTCTCGGGGGATGATCTACTGTCGTGGGTGGCAGCGCCCGCTGATTGGCACGTTAGGCTGCCTGGAAAGCGGGCAGGGCCACGATGCCAACGCATCCAAACTTTGATGACTAAGGCTCGGGCTCTACGCATGTCTATTGTACTTGTGGGACCGCCAGGTTATTTCTCGAAACAGGGCCCCATTCGAGATGCCATCGAAGATCTCGACTTGCAGGTCATGCGCATGCGGTGCTGCCATTTCGGGTTGGAAATGCCACCGTTCAAGTAAGTTGCGTAGCGGATCACATCTGCAAGTGGCTACTACCTGCACGCGCATCCCGACCAATCCACGGAGATGTACGTGTCGAGCTGCATGGAAACCTGTCCAACTTACTGAGCATGGATTGGACTGGCATAGCCAAGGCGCTCAGAAGGCAGAATGGCGCAACAAAACATTGGCTATCATGACCGCGAGATTGATGGACCAAATGGCTTCACACAAAACAAAGAGAAACCACGCGAGTGCTGTACACCTAGCGTCCACACACGAGTGGACAAAGGAGCTCGAACTTACGTTCAGTTCCCGAAAAATGGCCCTGAATGGGACCATGTCGTAAGACGGGTAACGATGAACCGGGGCGGCAATCAGATCATGCAAGACATCAAGATCCAGGACCAGCCTATCGGGTACAATTACAAAGCACCGTTCCCGAATGCCGCAACCAACATTCGTGCCTGGTTCTACTGGGAGCAGCCAGAACCGGCTCTCATCGGACAGGAGTACCCGCGTCCACGCCCAAGGCGAGTTGCTTTCGTCGATGGCGATCGTCTCCTGATAAAGCCCGCAGTAATGGTCATCTCAACACGTTCTGGGGCTGCGATGATTTGCGCGAAGAAAAGACGCGGGCACGGTTGGAAACGAAACGTAGACGAATTTCAAGTGATAAACAAACATATTATAGCGATTTCAATATATTTTCAATTATACGAAACAGAACACGCAATTTCAATACATGCCCAGCCAGAAACGGTTTTCAGAACACACAAGAGCCTCAAAAGGGCAGTATGAACAGATAGCGAAAAACAAATCCACAAACGCTCGTAGATGTCCAGCCAAAGGCCCCAAAGGCCCCAAAGGGGTAGTGGATAGCGGCAGGGAGGGAGCACGCGGGTTACGTTGATTGCCAATGTTTGCGATATGTTTTCAGGGGTAGCCTGAATGTGTTTTTCGCGAAGTAAGCTGGACCGAACTGAATGGACTGAGGGGCGTTTTATTCTCGGCAGCTGAGGGCGCAACCTATGGCGCAACCATTAGGAGGACGTTTTATTCTCGGCGGCCGAGGGCGCAACTTATGGCGCAACCAATCCGAGGACGTCTGATCTTCGGCGTCCAAGGACGCAACCGATGGCGCAACCAATCGGAGGACGTTTTATTCTCGGCGGCCAAGGGCGCAACCTATGGCGCAACCAATCGGAGGACGTCTGATCTTCGGCGTCCAAGGACGCAACCTACGGCGCAACCAACCGGAGGACGTCTTATCCTCGGCGGCCAAGGGCGCAACCTATGGCGCAACCAGTCGGAGGACGTCTTATTCTCGGCGGCTGAGGGCGCAACCTATGGCGCAACTAATCGGGGGACGTTCTATTCCCGGCGGCCGAGGGCGCAGCCTATGGCGCAACCAATAATCAATAGGAGGACGTCTTATCCTCGGCGGCTGAGGGCGCAACCGATGGCGCAACCAATAGGAGGACGTTTAACTCTCGGCGGCGCCAGCGGCGGCGGCGACGACGAGCGCCGCCACCGCGCCGACTCTCGAGGCGGCGACGACCGCACCGATGTGGCCCAGACTGATTGGACTTCGAACTGCGTTTGGGCTGGCCGCAGGGGCCAAGAGGCGAGCTGTCTTGTGATTTGTTGCCTTTGTGCCGAGCTGTTTTGGCTTTGGCTCATGACTCATGCCAGTGGTGGCGTGGACATACCTGCCTAGTGCACTAGCCGCCCGGCGATGGCGCAGAGGCTGGACAGATCGCCAGAAAGACCGCCTACACAATCTATGCAACGGCGGGCGGGGGGTTCTTTTTACATGAGCGACAGAGACAGAGAGGGCATGGGGGGACACACGAGCGTCGGAATGTGCTCGGGCATCTTGAGATGGGGGGCCAGTTGGAGGGTGAAAGAGGGGGTCTGCAACAGGGGGTCTTCAATGGGGGCTGAATGGCCCATGTCTGCTCAATGTATCGCTCATGTCTGTGATCGGGTACGATTGGCATCCAATGCTGGCGGTCATTGATGGCCAGTCATTCGTGCCCGCGCGTTGCCCGCGCGGGCACACGCGCCGTCCATCCATTATCGTTCATGCGTGCAGGCGTTCTTGCATATTGCGTGTGGGCCAGCGAAGTGGAGTGCAAGTGTGTCTTGATTGTGCGGTTGATGATCGCGTATGTTCCCAAACGATGACTTCTCGACCCCCAAGACAAATTTGGAATGGGCCCCGCGATTCTCCCAAAATGTGGATTCACATTTTCCGTTTTCCCAAAATGTGAATTCACATTTTCCTTTTTCACAAAATGTGAATTCACATTCTGGCCCCTTTCATAAAGAATCCCAAACAAAATTCCAAAATGTGAATTCACATTTCCCTTTTTCCCCAAATGTGAATTCACATTTTCCCTTTTCCCCAAATGTGAATTCACATTTTGCCCTGGCCTTCAAGATCCCCAAAAACTGAGGCGCAGTGTTCCGCATGTCAGATTGGCTGGGCAGATTTCGACACTCACCTGACCGCTGTCGTGTGTTCCAGCCTTTTCTTTTTGCGCCCTTAGCGCACGTTGCCTTCGTCGCCTTTCCCAAGCCCCCCGCCCCCTTGCTTCCTTCCCCCTCAAGTCTCGCGCGCGGGTGCAGATGGGGGGTTTCAATTAGTTCCCCCACCGAACACAGCAATCGAGGATGTATCGCCCATTCATGGCCTTAAAACCATCATTGCGGGGACCCTGCGCCCTGCGCCCGACCCCCACTTTCACCCTCCAAGGCCAGAGAGGGCAATGCGTTTGTCAAGTTGGTCTGGGGAGGCAGTGATATCCCCTCGTGCAGCGAGGGGCACGCGTGCACCGCGTTCTGGGACAAGTACTTCAACACGTGCCAAAACAAGCTGGTGGGCCTGGCGTTATTTGACTATGATTTTTTGCATCGTCCAGGGCGGCTTTGTTCGAGATTTCGAGTCCTCACGGCCGAGCAAGACGAAGTTTTGGAATGTTGGGAATCGATTGCGCCAGGATCGAACGGGGGGAGGGATTTGCTTTGAGCTGCGCATGTAATGTATTTGCAGCAATATCAGCGCCACGTCGTTCCAAGCATTTGTGTTTTCGCCACCTTGCCCCACGCAGGGGGCCGTTTGGATTAGGCATTCGCCTTTGAGGATTTGCTGCTTGACAGCCTCTCCTGACTCTCCTGGCCCATTGGATTGGGCAGCTGGGCAGGGCAGGAGAAACGTTGGCCTTCGTGAAAGTCGTCGACTACATTATCCTGCCCAACGTGTTTCGGGCTGGTGAGAATCCCAGGACTCCTGAGCCATTGGGCATTGAGTTGTTGGGGGATTGGCGGAAACGCGATCCAAACGTGGCTACTGAGAGGCATCCTTGGCAAGACAGGGTGGTAGGAAGAACAGAAAGTGCAGGGGCCAGGATAAGGAATCTGAGGAGGAGGGGGATGAGGCCGACGAGGAGGGAGATCGCGATGGGGACCAGTGGAGGAAGATGTAGAAATGAGGAGGATGAGAAGACGAGGCCGAACGGCCGAATATGATTACCAATGGTGGAAACTCTGTTGTCAGTTTTAGGATGGGAGCGAGGGCGAGAGCGGAGATTGGGGGGGCTCGCCTGCAAGGACATTATGGTTCACTCTGCCGCAGACGCTGGTCGACGACTGCGTGGCTAAATACAGGACGTGGGGGCGTCCGCGCGTCTTCCCTTTCTCTTCCTTTTTGTCTCGCAGGGGGCGCCACCTGTTGGTCTTCCAACTCCGCCGCGCCCCGGCGCACCCCCCCCAAGGTTCCTCCTCCTTGGCCCCCCTCGTCGCCGCCACATTCCTTCCCCCCCGATCCTGCTCCACTTCCTCCTCCCCCCCCCCCCACCTCCTCCAACCGCCGCCGTGGGCAGCAGCAGTCAGGTTGAGACGGCACTTGTTCATGGCAGCGTCGCCCATCCTCTTCCCACCTCCCTCATCGCCTGGCGCGCAAGCGATCCGCGGAGGGGGCTGGGTACCAAGCGTGGGTAGTGGGGCAGGAACGTCTCAGAGAAGCTCGCGGCCTGGGCAGAGACGTACAACGTGCCATCTGACGTTCCAGACCTAGGCCTCCAATTTCCTGTTGTAAGTCATGGTATGTTGCTGGGTAATGCTGGGGGGTGGAATGTGTACGCGTGGCCACTGGAGGGCAGGAGCAGCAAATTTTTCAATCCTAGAACTCTTCGGGGACGATTGGAACACCTGTTGCCACCAGGAACACACATGATTGAGTTTAACGAAAGATCCCATCGCGCCCGAGCCAAGAGGAGCAAAGAGTGGGACGTGGGCCAGCCCAGCAGCGCCTCGCTACCATGGGCCCCTGAGATGAACGACATTAATTTTTAAAAAGTTGCGGACACTGTGTGTGGGGCGGCTTCGCGCGTCTCTGATATGAGGCCAGATGAGGTAGAGGAGTGGGGCCATTGCGTAGATTGGGCACGATCCATGGCTTCAAGCTTGAGTTCCCGTTCGAACAAAGTTTTCTTATACAGGCAATGGGGTTGCGATTTTCCATACTTGCTGCGTGCATTGCTGATGGCATCGACAGCAGATAACTTTGGGAAGCTCAAAGACACGATCATGCACGCCATCAGGTTAAGTGCCCCCTCGACGATCGCCGAAACTCTTGTCAGACAAATCCTGAACAAGGACCGTTGGACCTAGAAAACTTGTTTCTGCATGTTTTTCCGTGCATCCCGCGCCCCACTTCTTCCATCACGCCTCATCCCTCCTCTTTCTCCATCCCTGCTCCTCTCTCCCAGCTCCCAGCCTCCTCCTCCCTTCCCCTCCCCCCTCTTCCCCCCAAAGCCCACAATCAGATAGCCCATGTCGCTTGGGGTGCCCAGCAGGACCTAGTGCCATCAGCTACTACTCTGAAGCGGCACAAGCTTACTTTGGACGTAGGTTTCCTGATGTACATGCGCAAGGAAAACGAACGCATCCTAGCAGGCAACAGAGTTTCTGCATACCAAAGTTGCGATAGCAGCCCAGTGGGGAAACAAAACATGCACAACACATGGGTGTGCAAAGTCACGCAATCAGACATGCTGCAACTGTACAATCACACGACATTTATTGCACAGAACAATATTGGAACGTCCAATGACCCAGGCGAAAATCAGGATCTGAACGCCAAGCTTGCCGAGGCCGATTCGTTTGTGAAGAGCAAAATGGCGCACAGCGTTTGCGCACCTTGTGGTTTGGGTTCGGCAGGGTCTGGAGTCAAACACAAGATGCATTGCCTTCTACATCAACATTTCCTGGAGTGCGGGTGGGAGCGCTGCGTCCAGACCTTGAACAGCACTGTTTCCTTTACTACCGATTTCGGTGACGAGCACTACCTCGCGACTGCCAAGCCTTTCAAGATCAGCGCGTTCTTCAATTGGGCTCGAACGAGCGACTTCAATCCAGGGGATGGGGTCGGGTCGAGGGGGGTGGGGGGCATGGCCTAGCCGCATGCGCATGCATATGGAGATGGACACGGATGGGGGGATGTATACATATATAGTGAGAGAGGTAGAGAGAGAGAGAGAGGTAACGATACATGAATACATATGCACGTATACTTGCACATCTGTATATATGTATATATATATATACGCAATTGCTACAAAGGTTCGGTGTAAATGGAAGGAGGGTTGAGAGAGGGCGGGAGTAGCATAGATAGTGAGTGAGTGCAGGGAACGGCGCGCGCGATAGAGCTCAGGCCCGCCGCCAACCCTGCAGCTCCAGGCCCTCACTGCTCGCTCGACCCCGCGGCCTCCGGGAGGCACTCGGCGTGGGCGCTGGGGAGAGGTCCCCTCAACTCCTTCCTTCCTTCCTTCTCCCTCCTTGCTCCACTCCTTTCCCTCTCCCATTATTTTCAAGGCGACCCTGCCCTATTGCCCATGCCCTCGGCCAGACAGCTTGGCGCGGGGGGTGGGGGGGCGCGCCGCAGGCAGCATAAATGTTTAAACAACTTGCAGAACCATACACCCAATGACCCCCTTTCCAAAAACAAAAAAAACGTACACCCAACGAACCGTAACTCGCCCTCTTCTCAGGCCCCTCTTGGGGTCCCCCTTTAGAGAAAAATACACCCAACGAGCCGTAAGGCGCCCTCTTCTTGGGCCCCTCTTGGGGTCCTCTTGGGATTTTCCCTGCCGCATCGTGGGGTCCCTGTCAGGGCTCTCCAACGAGCTCCAGGGGGGCCGTCTTGGGGGGCCCTGGAGCCGTCTTGGGCACTCTTGGGGCCTTTAGGGTCGATGCGCGACCCATCTATGCATGTATCCATGTACCTCCTGCTCCTTACTCTGCCAATCCTCGCCTCCCATGCTCCCTCCTTGCTCGTTCGTCCTTTCTCCAGCCCCCCTCCTCACCCGCCCATGCCTGTGCCGCCCTCCTCCTTCCATTTTCCTCTACGCGCGCATGCGAGAAGGGGGCGGCGGGGGGCGAGGACTTGCCTGCCTTCCAGATGCGCTCCGACCCCGCCGACTTGACCGAGGAGGCCGCAGGAGATGCAGCCTTTGATTTCCAATCAGATCCGAATTGCATCGAAAATCCAGATATGTCAGAGGAGCCAATGGGTCCAAGTTCGATTGCCCCATACATGGAGGGCCCTGGGGCGTCACGAGAAATCGACGCTGACGTCGTCGATCTGACTTCGTCCCTGAACTGCCCAGGCTCCCCTGGGTCCAAACGATATCCAGTAGGGCAGCAATTTCAAGAATGATCTGCCCCCCACAGGCTGCGCTCGCGCGAAACCCTGGGGCCTTGAGCAGCGGCTCCACCAGGGCCCCCAACAGCTCCTTCATGGCGCAGCGCGCGGCGTAGGCTCCTGCAGGGGCTGGAGCCCACAAGGGGGGAGTCTACAGGGGAGGATATGGGCGGGCATGGGCGAGAGAGCGACTCCAATATGTCCCAGCCTCTTACGGCCACGCCTTCGCCCCTGCTCCAAGAGGGCCCCAAGAAAAGAAAGGCCCAAGCCCAAGAGGACCCCCAAGAGTGGCCCAAGAAAAGGTCACCACCCACAGCGGTGACTTGGAATTTGGATCCGCCTTGGGGACCTCCCAGGGCTTTCTCAGGGCCACCTCAGCTATCACATAAACCTGCAAAGGGCATCGAGGGGGTCCCAAGACGACCCCAATATGGTCCCAGGAACGACCCAAGGGGTGGATGAGGGCCCCCCATTGTGACCGCCCACAACGCTGTCCTGGGCCCCTCCTCGGGCCCTCATCATGGGGCCTTCTTGGGCCCGCAACCTTCTTGGAACCTTTTCCTCTCAGAGCCCTCTGGGCCCACTTCCTTTCTCTTTGCCATGGGGATGTTGGGCGCTGCCCCCCTGTCGGATAGGGGGCAGGCATGGGGATAAAATGGCAGGGATGAGATTCGAAACTTCAAATCGCCCATAGGTTTGCTTCATATTTTCGACAACGCCATTGACCAGCTTAAGCAGGCCATGCCCTATTGGACAACTTTCATTGCGAATTTGAAACTTGTTGCTCGGATGGTCCGGCAGCCCCACACCCGCGAACGGATCAAGGAGACGTGTTTCAAGGACCCCCCTGCGTACCACAGGCGCGACGTGCTGGACATAGTAACGTCAACTGTGCATGAGAAGAGGTGGGGCACCATTGCGAATGCCTGCTACGAGCTGGGGCAAGTAAAAGAAGAGTTGAGGCAGTTTTGGGATCTAAAGGCATACTGCAAGGGAAAAGTACCAACGACCAAGCAAATGTCCAAACATGGAAAACATGATGCTTGGAGATTGGACGTTTTGAAGATCAACGACATCATAAAGTCTGATTTCTTTTGGGCATACCGCGCCATGGCAATGGAGATTTTAACAGTCTTGCTCCATCTCATGCATTGGTCTGGGGGCTGCCCATGCCACAGTCGGAAAGAAGCGTTCGCGAATTGGCAGAAATTGATAGGCGCCTCTGCGAGCACCTGCCCCATGGCAGGGAGAAGAGCGCCAAACTTGGCGGCAGGGGAGCTGATGGCCGTTCTGAACGAGTTGTGGGACACATGCATTGCTCAATTTCTGATGCGAGAGTGTCGTGCGTTACCGCCTAGCGACAAAGCGACGATTCAGTATGATCCTTTGGCTTCGCCATTGTCCGACCCGTCTGGAATGTTTCTGTTGCCGTCCAAGCGTTGACGGTTCAGAGCTAAGTGATGCGTGAAGCGTGCATGGGTAACGCAATAATCGCGACAGAGATGTGATATCATGTACGTATCGCGCTCATGTGAAAGCCGAAATACATTCATGATGTCGTTGCGTCCAATGTGGGCGGTGGTGGGGAGGACAGCGCGCGGCCCCAGCGTCAGGATGACGAGAGGCGGTCGGTCTGTCGGCCAAGGTTCGCCACATGCTGTCGCCAGGCAGCCTCTGGCTGCTGTGTGGAGTTGCACTGTGGAAGATCTGCATGTCACATGTATGTCATGATGAAGATTTCATCATCTTGGCAGTCTCTCCCACTTGTGATGTGCGGTCTAGGTCATTTCGATCTTGCCGTTGCTCGCGAGGTAGGCGCTAAGGTTTTGCAGTTGTTCGAGTCGCTGGGCGAGGGCGCCGACGCGCACGCGCTTGTATTCCGCATTTGCTTGCCAGGTACCCAATGCCGAGACGAACTTAATCGTTTTGTGTCTGGTGAAGACCCAGCGGGTTTGCCAGTGCTGCTTCACTACATGTCTCAATTTCGATTCATTTGCGTCGTGGAAAGGTTGGTCGAAGGATTGCACGCGGTCGTCAGCAAGGGCATTCGACGGGCGCCTCGACATGGGCCTGTGCACGTGGCCCTCAGGCACCACCTTCCAATGATCCAACGGAAGCTCGAGCTAGATAGTGAGTTTCTTGGAGACTTGGCGGCGCAACTCTCAAAGTGTCAAACTCCTATCATGTGCGTTGAATCCTTAGGCATGTCTAACCACGCACTATTTCAGGAACTCCAGTCAACCCACAACGGCAACAAGAGGCTTCTGAATGGCAAGTATGGTAAGGACCTCACTTACCTGATTTACAGGTGGGATGCCCCCACGCAGCATACCTTCAATCCAGCAGTGATCGTTGATGGCATGATCATGATTGGCGACGTGGACTCTGCTCAAGCCGTATTTCCGCCCCCACAGCCGCATGAACCGCCCATGGGGGGGCTACATCGTTGGAGACAGTTTTGGAGAGGCATGCGATGGAGTACATGCTAGAAATCTCTGGCCAAAGCGAAATGTTTTTCGTGATGCCGACCGCTCAAGGCAACGACCCCTCAGGGGGCGACCACTCTGATGGCCCCAATGGGAGTTCCTGGTTAAAGGCGTTCAAGCCCATGATAAACCATTTTCAAGTATCTGAGCAGCTCGGTTTAGATTTCGACTTTCAGTCCAATGCCGTGCCAGCGCTGCTGGGCGCTGACGCCGATGCAATGCCAGCGTTGCTGGGTGAAGGCGACGGCGACGGCGAGGTTAGCGCTTTGGTGCCAGTGATGGGCATCCCAAGCGCGGGCCCACAGGACCTCGTCAGCGAAATGATTCAGCAGAATATGTTGGTTTTCACGGTGACGGCGAAGAACCCAGACAAATTTGCACTTGCTCGACAGCCAGGGCATGCCCACGCACAACGCTTTGATGGGAACTCCCTGGTTATAGGTTTCCACCGCGTCGCGGAGACAAGGGACGACTCATTTCTCATTCACGCCGAGCATGCCAGAGGAAGAGCAGGAGTGGGGGATCATTTTGTGCTCAATGCTGGTGTCTTGACGCACCTGCAACTGCAGTCGCTGCTTATGTATAGCCGCCCGCCCAAGGCCACGTACATCTTGGATGGGTACGGGTTCGACGTGAACACAGGTTGCTCTAAGCGCTTGCTCGAACAGTTGGTGCCCGCAGGGGCTAGCGCATTGTCCGCCGACGCGTTCACCCTTGCTCACGACGATCAAAACAAGGATAGCTTAGACATGTTAGGGAAGCTGAGCGGCCTGGAGCTCGTCCATAATCTTAGCACCGACGGTTTTAGGAGCACATGGCAGTTTACCATTAAGGGTGAACGGTTGCTTCGCGAATGTTTTCAGCTACAAGGGCCAGGGGCCAAGGCGCTCTCCATCCGGGGCGTGCCTCATGACAGGAAAACAGTGTGGGAGCTATGGCAATGTTTACGGCAAAAGGGGTGGGAACCAAGGCTGACAAAATGGGGAGCTCAGAAACTACAGAAGCTACCTGGCCAGGGAGCGTTCAAAAGAAGCTGCAGCGCCATGGGCGAGGGCGGCAGTGTCGGTCGATCCCAGAGTGGCCATTGTTTGGATGCAATGTTGGGGACGACTGATCTTGCCGTTCTCGCAGTCAGGCGCTGCCGTTTCTTTTGCTTCGCATCCGAGGTGACCCACGGCCTGGCGCAGACTCGAAGGTCTTCTATGTTCAAGAATCTCGCAAGACCGTATCTCATGCTTACCTGCTCGCCTTGCTCTTGAGCGATGAACGAGATGGGGGGCCAGTCCAGCATGGGCTGACAGACCTCAATTACTTGCAGCTTGTGGAGGGGAAACCATTGACAAAGAGGTTTGCAGGCGATCGGAAGGCATTCGATTTCGTTACCTCGATTGGGGATTTCACTGAGAAGCCAGTCAGGAGTCGCGGCAAAAAGCGCAAAGCGCCTAAAGCGCTCGATGCCATTGAGGACGAGCGGGTTGACGGCGGCGAGGGCAGCGAGGAGGAGGGCGAGGACGAAGAGGAGAACGAGGAGGGCGAGGAGTCTGGGGGCGAGGAGAACGGCAGCGAGGCGCGCGGGTCTAAAGGGATCCCTCTGGAAGAAAGTTCTCCCTGCACAACAATCAGACTCTAGCGTGGCCTTCGCCGTGGCTTGCGCCGCCTCAAGGGCGGTGATCAGGGGAGAGGAGGCGAAGAAGACAGGGGGGCGAGGGCTGGGGCGAGGAGGGAGGTTGATGATGAGGAGGGAGAGCTAAGTAGGAGGTAGGAGTGGGCGAGGTTGCAACTCAAGCATTGCCATCGCGACTGCATGTGCTCTCAACGCATCGGCAAACAACACTTGCAAACACAAGTCAGACTTGCAATGCAAATGCGCATGCTCCGGCGGCGGTACCTAGGGTCAGATATCAAGTGGCTTGCGCCGTTCCGCCGACCCCAAAAAGGAGTGAGAGCGTGCGGCGATCGTGGGAGTTATCTACTGGCCTTTGGCCTATCCCGCCACGTTGCCTGTGTGGTGGGTCAGAGGCCTCTTGAGTGTTCGTTGGGATCTCGTGGTAGGCCTCTTGGCGGCTTCTTGGCGCAAGTGTTGAAGCCTCTTGGGGGCCGTTTTGGGGCCTCTTTTGGGGCTCTTGGGGGTCTCTTGGGGCTTCTTGGGGGTCTCTTGGGGGCTTCTGAGGGCCTCTTGGGGCCCTCTTGTGGCTTCCTGGGGCTCTCTTGGGGCGGAAGGCTCGATTTGTCGGTTCGTGGCCCCCCTCAGGGGCCCCTTATGGGGCCGTCTTGGGGCCCTCTTGGCTTGTCTTGGGCGCCTCTTGGACTGTCTTGGGGCTCTCTGGCGGTGGTACCTAGGGTCAGATATTCCGCTTGTTTCAATGTAAGCTTTTGGAGGCCCGCGCGAATATCTCAGGTTGGCGACGTACCCCCCTTCTGCATTGCGGTGTCCCAGGCGCCGCCTGGGTCGCGCGTCGCGCGCCTGAGGGAGTCCAGCGCCAACCTCAGAAATCCACGCAGAGCCCTTAATGCTTACGTTTCTGATGTTGATGCTTCTTCTTATGGATGAGTCCATCGCTATTCTTGCGATTGCAGTAACCTCGCTCTCTACCTGTGATCTGAATCTGGCCCCTTGTACCCTTGCCTCCCCTCAGGAGGGCGCGGGCTCCTCCTCGAGCTCCAGCTCCAGCTCGTCGTCGAGTGCTGCAAGCAGCTCCTCAGCAGGCGCGGTGGAGGGCCTGGGAGGCATTGCTACATGGACCGTGTGTATATGCTTCGATGCTCCCAAATCTTCCCAGTCTCCATCCCTATGTCCACGCCCCCCCCCCCCCAAGCATTTTAGAGCCTTGACGACGCGCGCACTCGTAGAATACATGATGGGCTGCGCGTGGCAACATCAAAGCGCTGGTAAGCTGAGTCTGAGCTGAGGCAAGCTGCACTGACAACATATAGACAAACTCATTTATGTAGCCCAATAGCAACCTACTCAGGCTAACCTCCTACATCCGATGACGATCCGATCGGTGAGCATGCCGTGGTAAAAGTAACAGGACTGCACAATCAAAAGTAAGCTTGCTTCTCTGCACATGTAAAGACTGATAACAGTATAAGGAGTAAGAGTGACGCTAGGAGAACTAGTTCGGGAACGGACACGAAAGGATGGGAATGGGAGGCAGCGGCGGCGGTCCTGGAGGTGGTGGCCATGGCGCTGCTGCTGGTCCAGAGCCGCCGGGGCCGCCAGGGCCTGCGGCTGGGGGTGGGGGCGCGGCACCTGCTGCCGATGATGGTGGTGGGGGCCGTAAGTTTCATGGCCGCACATGCGAGCATACTTTGTGGTATGGCAAAGACAAATTCACGCCAAAACGTAAGAACGGCATGACTACAGAATTCGAGTGCACTTGTTACGACCCTGAGCATGCAAAAGATGGGCGACCATGTCGAAAGAGTCGTGGCGTGCGCATTGCAGGCTCACAAGATATAGCTATCAGGCAATTGCGGTGGTGGTCCCACCAAGATTTTCCAGCTGTTTCTCATCAACAAGTGGGCAGGCCTGATTGTGGCTACCCGTTCCCAGAAGAGGGGAGCGGGCTTCCAAGTCATGAGACCCTGGATGAATGGGACGCAATTGATGCGGAATCTGATGGTGTACCTGCTGCAGCACCTGCTGCACCTGCTGCGCCAGAAGACCCCCCTGACCCTGACGATAGTAGTTCGTCGGATTAAAGGCCATTGCAGTAGCCCCCCCTGGCCCCTCGCAGTCTCACGCCTAGGGGGCCTTGGGGGCCATGAAGTGCTCCGGGTGCTCTGGCAATTCGCAGCGTTGGATGCTGCATGGGGCGTGGGGCAACCGGGAGGAGGAGGAGGGGGAGGAGTGAGGATAAGGAGGAGTAAGAGGAGGGCGTCTGGAACTTAACTGGATGTTGCCGCGGCCCCAGCGGACCTCGCTTGAGCTGTTGAGCTACTCTGCGGCCTTGCAGCCGCAGTCGCTGCAGTGCACAATGCAGGCAAGCTTTGTCACTTCTGCTATCTTTTGACTTGCCGCGGCTTTGGTGGCGAGTAGCACGCTTCAGAGTAGCAAGTTCTGGGGGCTCACGCGCGGACATACTGGCGGTGAGGCGAGCCCATGACACAGCGAGTATCCCTCACTGATGCGTTCGCCTACAGCGTGATTCCAACTTCGCCCTTAGAGCTCTCAGGCGTGCTGATCTCACCGGGAGCCCGCCCATGCCTAACGTCAACCTCGCTCCACGTTGGTTGGTTTTCATTGTTTTTGGCATGTTTTGGTAATTTTTGATTCGCGTTGCTCCAAAGCGCACAAAACCGCAACAAAATGACTCAGAAGGGGGGGCCTCGCCCATGGGGGCACTGGGAAGGCACAGGGAGTCCCTGGGAGGCCCTTGGAGGGCCAGATGGGGCCAAGTTCCGAGGTGTTCCGAGGTGTTCCGAGGTGTTCCGAGGTGTTCCGAGGTGTTCCGAGGTGTTCCGAGGTGTTCCGAGGTTGTGCGGCGGTCTGGTCGTGGGGGGGGCGCACATGGTGATTCCTGGGGGCCCAGTCTGGCATCCAAGACGGCGGCGTGATTGCATGGGGGTCGAAATCTGCCAACCAAGACGAAAATCACCACCCCACGACGAACAGTTCCAGCGGGCTGCAAAACAAGACGAACATCAACAACATATGATGAAAACGGTCGCTCGTTGGTGTTATTTGTGTTTCTGATAATGTTTCCGCATGTTCGCACCTTCTTGTCACTCCCTGCACAATTCTGTCACCCATGCGGCGGGGCTGCCCTTTTGCCAGTAAATTCAATGATGTAGTGGCTGTCTGAGTCCCCCCAGCTTTGCAATGCATGTCTCACATGTGTCTCCGGGAGCCCCTGCTTCCCGCCAACCTTATCGGCCTGGGGCCCTCTTGGAGCCCTCTTGGAGCCTTGGGGCCCTCTTGGGTGCTTTAAGAGGGCCCCAAAGACAAATGGAACAGCTCGTTTTGAAAGCCTTTCAAAACGAGCCCTGGCGATGCCCTCTTGGAGCCTTCCTGGGGCCCTCTTGGAGCCCCCATTGAAGCCTCTTGGGGCCCTCTTGTGGCCCTTTGGACCCCTGATGACGATGATGACGATGATGATTATGAAGATGATGACGATACTGATGACGATGATGATGATGATGATGATGATGACGATGATGATGGTGATGATGATGGCGACGATGGTGATGATGATGGAGACAAGGGCGACGACGATGACGATGATGCTTATGATGATGATGACGATTATGATGATGACGACGATGATGACGATGATGACGATGCTGATGCTGATGCTGATGATGATGATGATGATGATGATGGCGACGATGATGACAATGATGATGATGATGATGCTGATGATGATGATGATGATGATGATGATGATGTTTTTCTGGTCCCGGAGGGGCCCAAGATGGCATGGCCTCAGGGCGCCCCGTGTGGGCCCCAAGTGGGTGGAGACGATGGTGAGATCTGTGCGTGTGTCTATATACATATGTGTCCTGCAGTGTCCAGCGCTACATCACCAGCTCTATCAAAACGAGCTTTCCACTTGGTTGTGGGGCCCTCTTAAGGCACCCAAGAGGGCCTTGAGAGGCTCCAAGAGGGTTCCAAGAGGGCCCCAGGAAGGCTTCAAGAGGGCAGCGCCAGGGCTCGTTTTGAATCCCAATTTCACGCTCGCTCCCCTGCAACCCTACGCCCCAGGCGCCCCTCCCATCTTATCCCGCGGCCCTCCTATGCCAGTGATGTCGGAAAAAAAACACCAAAAAAGGTGCAACAGTTTTCCTTCCACCTGTGCGCTCGGGCCCCGAGGTTGGGGCTAGGGTTTCGCGCTCTTCCTTGGGCCATGTAGGGCCCCCCCCGAAGGGTCGGGTTTCCTTGGGGCCCGAGCGCACAAGTGCTGTGACCTCAGGGACCTTGTAGAAGCGAATGAGGCCAGTCCATGGTTCACTCAGCTCACGGTGATCAGAAGGACTGACACCGTCCCACACATCGCAGAAGTTGCTCTCGCCCTCGAAGGTGGACGTGGTCTCGAAATCATGGGTGACGTCAACTCGTGTCCTTCAGCGTCCGTTTTCTTCGTGTCCTTAAGCGTACGTTTTCCTCGTGTTCTTAAGCGTCCGTTTTCCTCGTGTCCTTCAGCGTCCGTTTTCCTCGTGTCTTAAGCGTCCGTTTTCGTCGTGTCCTTGAGCGCCCGTTTTCCACGTGTCCTTAAGCGTCCGTTTAGCTCGTGTCCTGGAGCGTCCGCGTTCCTCGTGTCCGGAATCATTTGCGTCAGAGGCGTTTGAGCGTCCTGCATTTTGATTGGCTTCCAGGGTTTTCCTAACATCCGCCATGGCGGCGGCGCGGTCGCCGAGGAAGCGCGGCAGGCACGCAACAGGGGAGGCGGATGAGAGCGCCGCCTTGCTTTCCGAGAAGTTCGGCCCCAGCGCGATCAGCGAGTTCATGTCGTACCCCAGCAAGAGTATCACGTCTCTCCTGAGTGACGCTTGCATGCGTGCAAGGAGGGGGCGGGGTTGACAATCGAAGCATGATGATAAAGTATAGATCGGGATACGCGGCCATAGCAGAGGTCGTCCAGCCAAGTGGACTTGGTCATGTGGGCAATCGTGTTATGTAGTGAAGAATGCGCGCTTTTGCAAAATTCTGGTGGGCCCGTTGCAAACGACTGCGGCTCTGGCGCTCCATCGCATCACGCAATGCTCTTGGGGCCCTCTTGGGCCTCCAAGAGGGCTCCAAGAGGGCCCCGAGAGGGCACCAAAAAGGTTCCAAGAGGGCCCCAAGGGGCTCCAAGAGGGCTCCAGGGGGACCCCAAGAGGGCTCCAAGAGGAGCCCAAGAGTAGTGCATGATCATGCAATGCTCTTGGGCTCCTCTTGGGCTTCCAAGAAGGCTCCAAGAGGGCCCCCAAGGGGCCCAAAGAGGGTTCCAAGAGGGCCCCAACAGGCTCCAAGAGGGCTCCAAGAGGACCATGGCTTACATGGGCCCTCCAAGCCAGCGGCCTCGCCCCTGCAAAGCATTCCCAAAGTCAGGATTGCCGGCAGCAACAAGCAACAACACACACAAGCACATGTTGGCGGGGGGAGGGGGGCCACCCCAATCTGCTCCACCCCCCTCGCTGTTGGCGACCCCTCCAATAAATGTTCACCCCCCTCTGAGCTGATAAAGAGGCGTGCAACAGCAGAAGGAGGAGGGGGCGAGTGAAAGGGAGTGAGGCTTTTGATGAACTTGGAGCGCGGCATGAGCATCAGCTCAGACTACTCTGGCATCATGATGTTTGAGGACGCTCTGGTTATGCACATGAAGTCGCTCAAGACGGTGTCTGGCTTCGAGGGTATTCCTCTCCCCTCATTGCATCGGGCCTGCGACATTGCCCCTGCAGCGCAGCGTGTGATCTTGTCCCGTGAGATGGACCAACCAACATTCCTGTTCAATGACATTAACGACAGGCTCCCAGAGGCGATCAGGACCAAGCTAGATGAGATGGAACCGCCCACCTCTGCGGCAAGCCCTGTGAGGGAAGCAGCATATGTCGACATGCTAAGCTACCTGATGGAGAACGAATCCCCCCTCTTCGACATATCGACGACTTCAACAGATATGCGCACAATGGGGAAGGGTCAGCTGCTCAGCCCAAGCCAAGTCGCGCGGCTCGACCACCAGGATGACTCCAGGGACCCTACTTTGAAGGATAGGTTGAACGTTCACGTGGCAGGTTCAGATTGCTTGGGCTGGACCCCCCGGGGCGGCCAACTGAGAGGCGCGCATCCTTCCAATCGGCCGCTCAATATCTACCTCACAGAGAGACGCAGCATGATGGAGAGAGGGCTGGAGGACTTGTTTGGACACGAATGCTCCCACCGCTTCCCCTCTGAGGAGAAGTTTCAGCAGGTTGCGGGGCCATCCATGGGCTTGCGTTTCTTCAAGCTCGGCCCTGAAACAATGGGCATCCCAGCTCGGCGCCCAAGAAGCTTCACCTGGGGTTACAACAAGCAGAAGCTGATGTGGGTAGGCCCCGACGACTACCAGTCTGATTTCTTGAGGTTGTTCGGCGCCACGCGTATAGCCAGTGGAGAGATGTTCTACATCGACTCCAAGGCCTGCGTCCTGGAAGACCTGGCGCGACGGGCGCAGAAGAAGGGCCTATACATCAACCCAGGAGCAGTGACTGCCAAGTTCAACTTCGAAGACGTCCTGAGTAAGCACGAGACGGAGCGCTTGCTCGCCTTCCAGAGTGACATGGCTAAGAAGCAGGCCTCCAATGATGACTACATGTTCGACCTCGAGCAGTGGCCCTCGTACACGTCATGTGGGCCATACCTTCCGACAGTCACGAGGAACGTGACCTTGTGGTCTCAGAAACACCGGCGCCCCTCGACCGTCAGGGAGAATCTGCTTTCCCTCGGCATGCCCGCGATCGATGGGGGCCCATTGGTGGATGGCTACTTAAAGCGCCCCTTCGCCAAGATGCTCAAAGATATGCCAGTCGCAGAAGCAGGGGGGCTGGTCGGAAATTGCATCGCGATGCCAGTCGTCGGTGCAATGTTCCTCTACGTTCTGTCCAACTTGATGCGCGTCGACGACATGTTGCCGTCCCCAGACAGCGTGTTCAGTGACCTCGGTGTGAAGAGAAGGCGTTCGTTTGCCTCAGTGCTCGACCTCACGATCGATGACGACGGCGATGACGCGGCGCCGAAGATGGCGTCGTCGGTCGAGGGGCCCTCTGCCTTGGGCCAGCCGAGCCAGCCAGATTATATTCCAAAGGCTCCCCAGCCCCCATTAGCGGCTCCTGAGCTCCAGTTGTCGGGTTCTTCATCTTCTAAGGAGTGCATTGCCGTAGATGATTCCCTGGATGACACTCTTCCCAGGCCAGAGCTTCCACTGCCCAGGCCAGAGTCTCCTGAGCCCTCGCCAGGGTCATTAGACCTCGCAGACACGTGTCGCGAGCCGTGGTAGGTCGCTACCAGTGGGATGTGGATGGGAAGAGGCAGGGTAGCGATAGCAGCAGGCGGCAAGAGTCCAACATAGGGGACGGGCCCCAGGGGGGGATACTGAGAGCGAGAGGGCGGGCCCCTGGGGAGGAGGAGGAGGACGATGAGGAGGGTGGGGATACATTTTTGGCGGCCCTGGATTTTTGATTTCAGAGACAAAGGAGTCAGGGAGGAGGGGGGGGGGAGACGGCAGTGAGGGTGGGAAGAAGACAGGAGATCAACATGCGATTGATTGCAGAACAATATTAGCGCGTGGATCTCTGTGCGCACAGCAATGGCTTTTGAAAATGCGGAGATCCTTGTCCTCCTCCCTCCTCCCTGAGTTCAAAGTTCTCCCCCACTCTCCCAGGGACTCCCAGCCAGCAGTCGCAGGAGGCACTGGTCCTGCCATCACGCCAGCCAGTGTAGCCGCCATGAGGCCTGGGGCGATAGGGGCACTCATTCCTGGTCTGCTTTGCTGTCCTCCTCGTCCTACTCCTCGCCCAATACTCTTGGAGATGAGTGATCTCGGAGATGAGTGATGACGCCATCGTGACAGCTGATACTTCGTACTGCATACTTTGGTTTGATTGATCTTGACATCCATCATCGTGTTCATTGGATGGAGTATCTACTGGTTGCAGTCTACGGCTGGTCACTGTGATGAGTATCTCCAGTTGCCTAGCAGGCTTCGGCCTCGGCTTCTGTGAAGGCGGTGGGGACATGCGCCTCGCGCATAGCTCCACTTACTCCAACCACTAATACAGCTACTGTCCTTGCCATCGTGACGGTGGGTACTTCGTACGATATACTTTGGTTTGAGTTGCTTTGACATTCATCATCGTATTGATTGGGAATGGAGTATCTACTGGTTCAGTTCTCGACTGGTGTGTATGATGAATATCTCCAGTTGCCTGGAAGGCTTCGGCCTCGGCTTCTGTGAAGGCGGTGGGGACATACGCTCTGCGCGTATAGCTCCACTTACTCCAACCACTCACCCAGCTACCGCTGTGCCTCGTTGTCGTGCGGTGGATCGCCCTCGTGAGCGCCTGGGTCATCCAGGCCTGTGGCGGCCGCCAGCCGCGCCTGATGTTGGCGCCGCCCAGCCCTCGCCTCCTCCCCCGCTCCTCCTTGCAGTCGAACTTAGAGTGCGTTTGTTGTTCTTTCCAGCCTGGGGGGCCTGCGGCCTACCTTGAAGACCTTGGCCCCTCCCAGTGCCTTCCTGGACTTTCCCAGCTTCGGCTGGCCGCCGAGTTTAAAATTCGTGTAGTGATTCAGCTTTGTCTCGTTTTCCGTATCGTGAAACTGGTTGGCAGTTTCCTTCCATATTTCATGTTAGGCCGTTGTGCCGCCGTCCCCACGAGAAGACAGCTGAAGTCGAGAACTCTGCGCGCCTCCACGCCGCTTATCATTATTACTACTCCTCGCCCCTTCCATCCTTATCCTTCGTTTCATGCTTCGTCTGCCTGCTGCTGCTCCCTCCCTCTGACGCTAATCACCCTGCTGCCTGCACCGCAAATCACTTACTTGCCTGAGAGGCCGATCCCCCAATCCCCCTCATAGTCTTTCCATCGGCCTCAGAGACCCAAATGACCTCATTGTGTCCTTTTCGCGGGATGTCTCGTGGGGTGCAAGAGGCAGGAGGATGGGGGGCACGCGCGGCCTCCTGCAGCTGGCTGGCCAAGGGGAGTCGGCCAGGGGCGCCCCCACTGCGCGGGTTCGAGCCGCCAGAGCCGCAAGGCGCAGCAAGCACGTCTGATCATTCTGTTAATGTGTCCCTCCTCCTCCTCCTCCATCCGTCCATCCGTCCATCCTCCTCCTCCTCTCCTCCTCCTCCTCCTCTTCCCTCTTCCTCCTCCACCGCCTCTTTGGCCCTCTTGGGAAATGTCCACATGCGGACGTCGCGCCTCCTTCGCTTGGCATGGGGCCTTTTCAGACAGGCGTGGGTCCCAGGTACCTGGAGCAAGTTGCTGTATATGTTGTGGCAATAGCTGCCATTTGGCCCAACTGTCAACGCTGTCACCCTTCTCTCCAGCTTTGCCCTTGACACGAGTCCGAGGGAGGCCCTTTCAACTTGGCCCCAAGTAGCGCTGAGGCATGTCGGATGCTCCCGGTGAGGTTCCTTTCTCGTTGGATGAAGTAGACGCGATGGGAATGGGAATTGACTTGAGCGGCGGTGGCTGCTGCGGCACAGGCGTCGCTGCCGCTGCTGCGGCGCAGGCGTCAGAGCAGTCTCTTTTAGACCAGTTGGGTTTCTTTGATGACCCCAACGTGTGCATCGTATGCGGCGAGCCCCGGTACATGCGTCATCGTTTCTGCAAGCCCCACAAGTCACTGGCCGAGTCCTTGCGAGTGGACGCAGAGCGACAGGACCTCGATAAGACAAAGGCCACAGGAACCAAGACGACAGAGTGTTCAGATGCGCACAAGGAGGCCATGGCAGATCCAGCGAGGTGCGTGATGAAGATGAAAATGGCAGAGGAGGCTAACCCCAGCGCGAGCAAAGGCAAGAAGCGCATCAAGTTCGACCACATGGACCACGCCCACTCGTTTCGCAAACAGAACGTGGCAGAGGACTTCAATCTGCTAAAGAAGGTCGACTTCATCGAATTCAGCACCACGATGGAAAGGAAGCGCAGATGGACACCTGCGCGTTCTTTGCAGGAGTGGGACAAGCTCAAGGACGACCCCTCGATTGGCCGAGATAACCTTGGACAAGAGAAAGGCTTTGAGCTCAGGCTGCGCCTCAAAAAGGGTGACTATGTAAAGGTTGGCACTGCGTCAATCGAGGAGAAGTCGCTGACGAATACCTCCAAGAAGATGAAGTCAGCATCAGCAGACGAGTTGTCGCAGATGAGGGCAGAACTCAGCATGGGCATGCAGACGTTCGGCGGCGACTTCCACAGCGTTGGCGCCAGCAGCTCCAGCGCCAACGCGCCGAGTTTCAGTGCGCCCTTGGGGCCTGGCGCTATGCTGGCTCAGATGGCTGTGACTACCACGCCTGGCAGCTCGACCGTGCCATCAACGCCAGCAGGATCATTCATGCCTGGGACGCCAGGTTCCTTGAGCGGGGAAGCAAGGGGGTGTCTTGGATTCCTCCTCCCCCTGCTCCTCTAACTTCTCATTCCCCTTACCTCTGCCCGTCTTCTTTCCCTTGGGGTCCTGGGGCCTCCCCACTGTGATGTTCTTCTCCCAGGGCGGCCCTGTGCTTCTCCCACTTGAAGGTCGCGTGGCGTCCGCCACAGCCCAGTCATCTAGCCCAGCCGCCTCCATGGAGGGCGCGGGCGGCGGCGGCACGCCCAATGGCAAGCAGCCTCCGCCGCTGGACATGGCCCTCCGCGCCAACACGTCCAGCAAGATCGCCAGGGAGCAAGACCTCGAGATCGTGAAGTTGTGCGAGGCCGCCCTCAAGGGGCAGGAAGCCATCGAGCGCAAGGATGTGTCGATGGCCGATGACAAGGCCCACTTTGACATTGTACAGCAGCGGCTCAACATGCTCTTACTGGTGCTTCTACTGGTGCATCGGGAGCCCAACAAGGAGCTCCCTGAGGGCAAGGTTGCGTGGTGCCACCAGAGGATCCTATCCCAGGAGAAGCTCATGAAATTGTTCGTGACTTCTATCGTTGCCGACGGCCCTGCGAACGACGTGGTAGACGTCGAGAAGGAGGTTAACATCGAGCAGAACAAAATCATCTCCATGCTTGAGGGGTCAGCCTGGGGGGGCGTGGTGAAACTCTGACACTGGCCTGGCCCTGATCACTCAGCCCTCCCATTTGTCGCTCGAGCCCTCCCTCCAAGGCATCCCCACGGGCCCCACGCCCCAGGCCTTGTTTTTCTTGGGGGTGGGTGTCCATCAAGAGATGAGCATTGCAGGTGCGGTTGCCCGCTCACTACTGTGGCGCCACTGCTGCCCTCCAGTGCTTTGCATTCGGTTTCCATGTTGGTGTTCTGGCATTCTCCTGTTTGGGGTCTACGCTGGTAGATGGCAGAATGCGCGCCGCAAACATGCAACGCGTTTCAGGGGGGTCTTACCTAATGTCCCCTTTCCTACGATGCCCCCCCTATTCTGACCCCCATGAAGGTCTGCATATGTTCCAATTGAGAACCCGCAGAGCTTGAAGAACGTTGGAGTGATCGCCATGCTTGCTCACCAGGTGACAACGATGGAGAGTACAGCTACGGTGAAATCAGCTCTCAGCAACTGGGTGGAAACAAAGTTGGCGTGGAAGCAGTTGGCCAAGGCCCTGAACAAAAGCATCACTGACCTCAATGGGGACATCAATCGGCGCTTCGACGCGCAGCAAAAAGAGAAGTCCGAGGCAGAGAAGAAGGAGGCGGCAGCGGCAGTGAGGCGCAGGCAGGAGGAGGAGAGGTTGGCAGCGGAGCAGAAGGCACGAGTTCGAATCAACACAGACATCTTTAAGCTCAAGGTCGAGGCGGACATGGCGGCCCCGGTGCGCCGCAGCGACGCGGAGTTCTTGGATGGAGCGCCGCAGGTTGACTACACCAAGCCGCTCGTTGTCGTGAGCGCGGCCGTGCAGAACTTCGCCGAGGGGAAGCTTGCCCAGCCCATGCTGCAGAGGTTATTTCGTTTTGGAATTGGGTCCATTCGTTGAGTCTGATCCGTTCCGCATTCCAGTCGACGCTGCTGGCGATGCTCGGAAAATGGGCTTTGGCGGACAGGGGTGGGTTGCCAACTTGTTTATGCCATCGCTTGGCGGCGCGCTGAGGGGGGCAGCGGGAGGGGGGGCGCTTCTGGAAGGCAGGGTGCTATTTGGCAGCCCTCAAAGGCTTTAGAGAAACCCTTGGAGGGCCCCTAAGAAGCACACAAGCACACTGCCTCCTAAGAAGCCTTCCCCCTCCCCCTCCTCCCCTCTGCGCGACGCCGAATCTCTCTGGCTGTATTCATAAAGTGTGCAGGCACATGCTTGCAGGCGCCGAGGTCCTGGGGCCCAAACGACCCAAGCACACATGTCGGATGGTGGGTTTAGTTTTCGGAGCCGCTGTCTGGGAGAGGTCTGGAGGCCCAAGGGCGCATTTGCTATTTGATTTTAGGATATGCCAAGGTTCTTGGCTCAGTACAAGGGGGTGCCTCAGTTCAAGGACCCCACTGGGGAGGGCCGCATCTTCGCGCCCGTGTCGGCGGCGACCGTGGCCCAGGCGATGAAGAGCTTGATTCACACCTTTGTCCCAAAGGAGAACCATCCAAACATCGAGCCCACTGTTGTCGACATGAAGAAGTTAACGTGGCCATGGCTCTGGGGCATGAGGGAGGACCTCGTCCACTCCAGTCCGGAGTCTCACGGGCTGGGGTCGATCCGCATCGTTCTCGGTGGAGGGGTTTCCATAATGTGCTTGATCGGTGATGCAGCGACAGGGCTCAGTTTGGGCATAAATGTCGAGAACGCGCTGCTGGAGTCGAACATCCTTCGTTTCAGCTGCATGTCGCAAGAGGACCTCACCAAGATGAAGGGCCAGGTGTTCTACATGAGCGCGCCCACGCACAGCGTCGTCTACCTACCTCCAGGCTGCCACGTTATCATGGCACCGACCAACAAGCCGTGCAACATGTACGGATTCAAGCAGCTCGTGATGCCAGAATCGATTTTGCCTCTTCAGATGACCAAGCTGATGCTTCCATGGACTTCTATTTTCTCAAACTCGTTCATGCTGAAGGATAGGAACATCCTTGATGCTATGATCAACGTCTGGGACCCAGATGGGGCCTTCCGCCAGACCAAAAGCGAAGAACTGAAGGTGAAGCAGCAGCCCCCAGATGGACTGGGTGATGGAGGTGAGCGTGGCGAGGACCTCAGCACGAGCGCGATGGCCACGCCTGTCGGAGCGCCCCCAGAGCAGCGAAGCCCAGCGTCGCCAGATCTTGAAGATCTTGATGGGGGTCGGGATCGTGCTCCTGGGCACTCGGTGGATGCGCTGTTCGATACTGGTGGAGCTGCAACTGAGGGTCCAGTGGCTGCGGCTGCACCATGTGAGCCATTGGCTCCAACAGACTTGGGCGTGGTCCAGGGTGCGTCCAATGCCACGGAGGTTCAGGAGGACGGGGAGGAGGAGGGCCGCAAGGGCACCCCAATGGACGGCGCCCATGGCCAGGCCGACCAGACGTCCAGCCAGGAGAAGGATGAGGCGTCCAGGGAGGCCGACAAGAAGTCCAAGGACGACGAGGTGATGGGCGAGGTGGGTGCGAGCGACCTGGACCAGGAGGGCGAGAACCACGGCGTGGTGACGGAGGCCGCGCTGTCCGACCAGAAGGAGGGGGCCGCGCTGGCCGACGAGGAGGCCAAGGCGGCGGCCATAGCAGCCAACCTCGGCTCGCCGGAGACGGCGGCCGCGCCGACCGACCAGGGCCCCACCGCCAGGGAGCACAAAGAGGCTGAGGCCTCGGCTGGCGGCGCGGCCGCAGGCGCCGCCAATGACTCGCTGACCATGATGGTTGACGCCACCGCGGCCTTGGCTGGTGGGGTGACGGCGGCCGCGCCGACGGATGAGGCCGCCTCAGCTGGCGGCGCGGCCGCAGGCGCGGCCGCAGCCTCGGCTCCGCCCAAGAAGAGATCCAGGGTCACGGCCGATGCCCCAACCAGCAAGGTCGCCGCTGCGGCCAAGACGCCGCCTGGTGCGGCCAAGGCGCCCACCTCTTTTTCCACGGCCGCTGCGACGAAGGCCCCCTTGGTGGCCAAGGAGCTGCCCCCTGCTCCTCCAGTGCCGCCCCCTGTGGCTTCCAAGGCCGAGAGCAAGAAAGGAAAGGCGCAGCCCAAGTCCAAGGGCTCGCTGGACCCGCCGATTGCGAAGGCTTTCAGGCAGGGTTCGCGCAAAGGCAGCTAGAGGCTCAGAGCGTGGCAGTTCACGTGCGCTCGCCGATTCGATTTTGGCTTGTCGCCCGCCGCCGAATGCTGTTGCTTCTATGGTTCATCAGTGACAGACGGAGTGCTAGGAGAAACCCTGACAATATCTTGCGTGTCTTATCTCAAGTTAATGCACGATCCGCGCATCAATGCACGCACGCACCCACGGTGAAGCACCCATGAGTCAGGTGCTTTCCAGGCTAGCCTGCCACGACGTGGAAGCGCATGTGAGCATGCGCTAACTTATTTTGGTGGTGGCGGCGGGCGACAGCCGCTTTTTTCACTCCTCTACCTTCTCCTTCCCCTTACTCGTAATCATAATCGTTGTCAATGTCCTCCTCCTCCTCCTCCTCCTCCTCCTCCTCCTCTTCCTCCGGCCTACAGCGTTGGCCCATGGCAGCTGGACCTGCGAACCAAGCCAGGCTGGGATACCTGGCGCAAGCATCGAGTCTGAAAAGCCCCACCTCTCACATCTCCATCACCCCCTCCTCATGTTCCTCCCCCCTTCTGCTCCACCTGCTCCTCTTCGCCCTCCTCGTTATTATCATTGTCCTTGGCCTCCTGCTGCTGCTGCTCCTCCTCCTCCTCCTCCCCTTCCTTCTTCTCTTGCCGACTCCAAGAGGGTTCAAGGCGTCTGGCTCCCACAGGCGTCTAGCGCGCGGGGGGGGGGGGGGGGGGCGTCGCCGCGGGCGGCGCGGCAGCCATCGCTGCCCTCTTCGTCTTCTTCGGGTTCAGCAAGATCGATTCAATTTGGGTTTAATCAGTGGGATTTATCAGTGGGATATCACTTCCATTGGTGGGATATCGACTCAATTTGGGCGAATTCGCGAATTTTGTTGGGTTTTGTCAATTCGGCGCTTCATTCCCGTCTCAAATTTTGGGTAACTGGCTGGTACTTAACACTTTCGGCCATGCCGACATTGCAGATTGGAGAAACCATGCAAAAGCTCTTATCTTTAGATATCGATAAGCAGAAAAGACTGAGAGACGATGCTCGGATGGTAGACGAAGACAAAGAAAATCAGCAAGAGGCCTCGAAGGCTATGAGAACACTGGCGGCCAAGGGATCTGCTAAGGGTACAGGCCTGGGAGAGAATGGTTCAATTTCTTCAGGGGCTGCCTCGACAGCCACAGGTGCCGACGGATTTTTGGCGCAACTCGAGTCGCTTCTAGATAAAAAGATCGCTCCCATCAAGGACCGTATCGATTCGTTACAACTTGATGTATTGGGAACTCAAAAGGCGCTGGCTCAGGAATTCTCAGTAGCCGTCACTTTGATCAATGATCACGAAGTAAAGCTTGCCAACCTTGAGGCAGGTGAGACCGAGGTGCAGAAAGCCTTCAACGAAAGGATTCTGGCTGTTGAACTGGAGCAGAAGTCCCTGCGCGCGGAAATGGCAGCCAAACAACTAGAAAGCCAGTCAAGCCAGGGTCCGTCCAGGAAAAAGGGTCCGCCGTGGGCCAGCACCCCAAGAGCAGATAGAGACATCTTCATTCTCACCAACCTGGGCTGGAATCTCAAGAAGCAGGAGGCTCTGGAAAAGGCACGGGCGGTCCTTCGCCGAGCAGATGTTCCCCAGCCCACGCATATTGTTGCGCCATTTGGGTATGGAAGTTGTGTTGAGATCAAATGGAGTTCGATTGCGGTGGGACTTCAAGCAGCAGCTACGATCCGTGATCTCAAGATCCCTGGGCACTTGGAACACTTGATCTGGTGTGGCCAGATTAGTACTAAGGAGGAGCGTGGCCCAGCAAAATTGTTCAAGACCGTTTCAGAAGCACTGGAAAAGGCAATGGGAGATCGAACAGGCAGTTACGTGGTTTGCTCTCGGACTCGAAAATTTTTCGTCTTGGACCATCAGATAGGTGCTATCAAGGACGGGGAATTCCAGTGGCACGAGTCTCTCAAGGAGATCCCCGACGAAGCGCTCCGCAAGACGCTGAAAGACACCATCGACGAGGCACTATCTCTCTGAGATGCCTACGTGAGGGGTCTCGTTTGTGCACTCAATGTGCAGGGCAAGTGGGCCGACGAGACTCAAATGCAAGCCAACCTTGATTTGCTCGAGCTGAAGTGCTGGGGCTTAATTTGCATCTTAGAGGCGGATTTCAAGGGCTGCCTTCAAAACGATGGGCTACTACGCCCTGTTTTCAATGGCCATGCTTACTACCGCCATCACTCTGGCCCTGGGTGTAGGGCCATGGGCGTGCTTGTGCACAAATCTCTGAGAAAACGTGTGAAAGACATTGTCTGCGATTGGAGATCTATCCGTGTTGATCTTCGTCCCGACTGTCTCGATGGATGCCACCATCATGCCAGATCCTTTCTCTTCTCTCATCTTGCCCATGATTTTTTCCATGATTCTCTAAACTGTGCCATCCAACTCGGTCGATCCCGCCCTGTGGGGTCTACTCTCTCTTGGTTGGGGGACATGAGTGCCGATCAAGGTAACGGAGATCAGAAATTCCGATCGTTCTGCGAAGCTTGTTCATATCTCGATCTCCGTTGGTGCCCTCTTAGGTTCCAAGAGACTTCCATGCAATTCACTAGGAAGCCCGATGGTGAGCAGGCGCTCTCTCAAGCCAGCAGCACGATCGATCACATTGCTCTCGCCAGGAGTGATCTCTCTTTTGACTGTTTCGCCTGCTGGGCGGGCGTCCCAGGGGACCATGCCCTTATTGGCTGTGATATCCTGGCCTTTCACCAGCAGGTTCGTAAGAGAAGACCTCTCCTGTGGACTCCTACAAACATTTTGGAGGTTAGGAAGATCGCCCAGGGTCTGTTTCCCGAATCAGCGGAACTTATTCGTCTAAATGACGAAGAACAGCCCGATTCATGTGCGGTCAGGTATCATGATCCAAGGGACCTCACCCTCTCCTTCGATTTCTGGGAAAACATGTTGGGTCAGGTCTATGAAGCGACTCAGGCTCTCCCAAGGAGTTTTAGGAGATTTGCTGAAGAGCCATTTTGGGTCAAGAGTCTCAGGACACGGTTCAACTCCGAACTTAACGAAGCCACGAGGGTCGCCTTGGGTCAGCTCCTCTTGAAAGCACTCAAGATAACTAAACTTCAACGCGATTTGGCTCAGGTTGCGCTCAACGCCTCTCAAGGAAAACGGGTCTGGGCCTCCCGCAAGTCCCTCCTACCCATATTGGGTTTCTGTGTAGATCAAGTCAAGATTTTTGAAGTGGACCGCTGTACCACATTGGTTGCTGAAGAATACAGCGAGAGGTGGGGACTCTCAGAATCGGAGCGGCAGGAGGACATCGCCTGGCTTCGCTCTTTGGGTTTCTTCAACTTCTACAACGACCCCATCATTCCCTCCCTGCTGGAAGACGCGCTGGACAACATCAAGGCCCCCCGAAAGATCGACACAGAGTTCGCCTGTACGGCGGTAGTAAAAGCCTCGGGATGGTCCCAAAGGCTCACGGGGTGTATACAGGCCTGCTTAGGCGATCCCGAATTTTGGAACGACGTCACATTCGGGGGCCACTTGGGTATCAAGATCAAGGGTTTTGGAACCCCTTCTCAAACTAGAGTTGTCATTCCTCAGCCTGCAATTGCCAAGATTGGGCACGCATATGTGGCAAGGGCCATTCTGCCAGTTCTGGACTCATACACTGATTCTAAAGGTCTCAAGGGTCTTATTTTTGGGCTCAGCAAAGGTGGACAATTACAGGAACTGCACACCAGTGTCTATCACATTTTAGAATATGGCCGAGATCACTTTAACAAAGGAATGGTTGGGATTACTGACATCAAAGCTCACCACGATCAGATTCGTTATGGATTAGTCCTGCGGAGTCTATTGGGACGGGGAGTCCCTCTTTTCTTAGCAGTGGGCTGCATCAGGTTGCATAGGAACCCTCGAGTTTCCATCTCACTTTTGGACTCAAACACTGGGATTATCCAGAGAGACCGTGGGTTGATGCAAGGAGCTGGGACGGCATGCATACTGGCGCGCGTTTCCGTAGAAGATTGTTTCGCCTCCACCTTGGAGAAAATCACCCATTCTTCTTTGGGAATCTCTATCCGTTGCGAGCAGTTGGGCTTCGATTTCAGGATTGCTCTTCTCAGCTGGTCAGATAATATCTTCGTGGTGGCGTCCTCGGAACAAGACCTTGCAACTCTGACCGCACTGGTAGAGTCAGAGCTCTGGAATGAACATCGGCTCAAACTCAAAGACGATCGGGAAATCCTTCCGGCCTACCCCTACTTCTTTCAAGGATACAAGTGGTCCGATCCCTTTGGGAAAACTTGGTCTGTAGTACCGGAGGCCAAGGTGCTGGGTCCAATTCTCTCCGCCACTGGATCCTGCCACGAAGATGTCAAGCAGGGTATTTCGCAGATCAACAAAGCCTTTTGGGCTAACAGTAGGTTCTTGATCAACGAGCAGATCCCCATGTCTAAACGTCTCTCTAAACTCAACTGTATGGCGGGGGGGATTATCCGATCAAGAGGTGCTGCCTGGGTCCCTTGTAAGACGACGGCGGATTTGATTACCAAGGCTCAAAATCAATGTATCAGGATCATGTTGAAACTCAGAAGGCTCCCGGGGGAATCTCCCGAACAATTCAGTTTACGCAGAAATCGCAAAACCAAGGGATTCAAAGAGGTCTCATGGGCTATTTTCCATTTGGATTCAGCTATTAGTTGGGTTTCACACATGCAAAGACATCCAGAAGATTTTTCGTCGAGGCTGTTTCAATATTGCAAGCATTGGGTTATTCAGAATCGCTCCTTTGACAACTTTGGTGGCAGCCGTACCCACTCACGCTCGCATAGGGGATACGTTTTCAGGTATGACAAGGATGCCTGGACCACCTTATTCTCTCCTCAGGGCTCCCGGGACAAAAAGTTTCGTTTGGGTCTTGCTCAAGAAATGCTTGATTGGGTTCGGCAACCGCTTCACCTTCGTCTTCAGTAGCCATCGGCTTCGTCTGGCGTGACCCAGACTCACATTTGCTACCGTACTGCGC